CCCCCCCTCCCACTTTAAATTATTATTTATGCATTAATAATTATTGTTCGATAAAATAAACATGACTTTAGTAATAAATTATTATACAAATATGTGCAATAAAGTTTTCGTAAATGAAGCAAGCTTACGACAACCAAACAATATTTTATATGCAACTTTTTTCGTGTCAGTCACAGTGAAAAGGTTAATATAAAAATAAAATCATAAACAAAATTTATCTTGTATAGAAAAATAATAAAATAATTAGGCAAAATTAATAACTCTGGAAAAAATATTATAATACATTCCAAAGAAGAAAGAATAGTAAAAATGATAAAAAATTTGAAATCAGAATGATAAAAAAAATTGATTGGTATCGCAGAAAAGTTAATAATTATAAGAATGATATTCGCTAGTGGGATTGACAAAAGGGTCGAGGAGGACAGGATAAGCCATCCGGATTGCCAGACAGCTTTTCAATTCCCCTTGTTGGTGAACGTGTCGAATGGGGAGATCCGTATTTTGTACTAACCCCACCGACCCAAAAACATTCACAGTTGTATATATATATGTGTATTCCATCGGCTTGGAGTTAAACCTAGTTACCGCACTACAACCGGTCTACAACTGTATTGCGGTAACTAAGTAATCCCCGAACGTTATTTGCAGTTATTTATCGGTCCACTGGACCCACGAGAGAGTATTTTCATTTTCGCGACATCTGTATTCCTTTCTTTCGAGATGAGAATATAAATCCTTTTAAATTTCTTTAGTTGATTTGGGATTGACCTTTTTCTTTATATATTACGAAAACAGATTTAATCGCGATAAGTCATATTTTTTTGAGGGGAGATAAAAAAAAAATCTTTTTTTGTAACTTAAGAATCATATCATATTTTTACTACTTATAATTGTTCTAATAATTAATAGATTTACCTGTTGAAAACTATTTTTACTATTTGCAAAAGAATTACACAAAAAACTTCTCGTTTGACCAAAATTTACTTTTACTACTGCTATTCGTAGATTTATTATTAATAATAAACCGAATAATTGATCAAATTTTCAAGATGTCTGACCAAAAATGTTTATACTACTTAAGGGAGAATAACATAAATTTTAATTTGTGTCTGACTAATAATTACCTTTACTACTGAAAAAATATTTTTTACTGCTGATAATTAACCGAATAAATTAACAAAATTTTTAATATAATGCTGTCTTACTAAAGATTTATAACTACTTAAATTTAAACTTCTTGTCTGACTAAAATTTACTTTTACTACTGAAATCAAAGTTTTATTACTAACAATTTGTGTAATGAGACTCAGTATATTTAATTATCTCTGCCTGATACTATTTTTACTACTAATGGCAGAATTACACAAATTTAAACTCTGTACAATTTTAAACATTTTGGCTGACTAAAAATGTTTGTACCACTTAAGGGAGAATAACATAATATTTAATTTGTGTCTGACTGATATTTACCTTTACTACTGAAAAAATATTTTTGACTGCTGATAATTGATAGATTAAATAATTAACAAAAATTTTAATATAATGACGCCTGACAAAAACTTTTTTTTTACTAGTTAAGGAAGAATAACACAAAATTAAATTTCTTGTCTGCGTAAAATTTACTTTCATTACTAAAATAAAATTTTTACTACTTGTAATTAACTCAATTATTTACAGATTTTTAAAATGACGTCTGGCTAAAAATAATGTTTCTACTTAAAGCAGAATAATATTAATTTCACTTACAATTAGTGTCGCACTAAAATTAACATTTTCTACTGAAATTATTTTTATTTTTACTGATAGTTGACGAAATAATTGGCAGTATTTTTAAGTCTAGTCAAAAGAGCTTTTACTATTTATAAAGAAAAATTAATCATAATTTTAGTTTGGGTCTGACTTAAATTTATTGTTACTATTGAAATCGCTAGTTTTATTATTAAAATAAACCGATTAATTGATCAAATTTTTTAAATGACGTCTGACCAAACATGTTTTTACTACTTAAAAGAGAATAACATAAATTTTAATTTGTGTCTGACTAATAATTACCTTTACTACTAAAATTATATTTTTATTGATGATAATTGACAGAATAAATTAACAAAATTTTTGATATAATAACGTCTGACTAGAATTTTTTTTACTACTTAAAGGAGAATAACACAAAATTATATTTCTTGTCGACGTAAAAATGTCTTTTACTACTTAAATCATATTTTTACTACTTCTAATTCACTCAATATTTGAATAGATTTTTTATAATCACGTCTGACTAAAAAAAGTCTTTCTACTTAAAACAGAATAACATTAATGTTACTATGTGTCTCACTAAAATTTACCTTTTCTACTGAAATATTATTTTTATTATTAATAATTGACAGTATTTTTACGATTACCTCTAACCAAAATGTTTTTACTACTTATAAGGAAAAATAAACAAAAATTTTAGTTTGTGTCTGACAAATAATTTATTGCTACTACTGAAATCATAGTTTTATTACTAATTATTTTTAAAATATGTGACTAAATCTATTAAAAAACCTCTGCCTAAAACTTTTTTTCACTACTTACGGAAGAATCACACAAATTTATAAACTTCTTGTCTGACTAAAATTTACTTTTACTACTGAAAACGAAATAATTGGTCAAATTTTTAAAATGATGTCTGACCAAAAACGTTTATACTACTTAAGGGAAAATAATATAAATTTTAAAGTGTGTCTGACTAATAATTACCCTTACTACTAAAACTATGTTTTTATTGCTGTTAATTGATCGAATAAATTAACCAAATTTATAATAACTTCTGACTAAAACTTTTTTCTTATATTAACTTCTTTAAAAAATACATTAGTAAAAATAATAACATATTAATATGGATAAAATTAATAAACAAAAAAAAAATTATACTTATTAATTTCCTGAAGTGAAAAATTCGAAAATCATTCTCAAAATATATGTACGTTTAACAGTCTAGCAAGCGGTATTTTTTTATCATTCTATATTTAAAATTGATATCTAATGTCGATAATGGAGTGTATGTACATGGGAGAGCTAAAGTTAATTCGATTAATGCTGATGGGAAATGTTTGTTTGACAATGTGTGACAATAGCTTTCCATGATACGTTTACAGGAACACGCAAGGGTGAGGCTCCTATGGTTACTATTCAAATACACTTTTATATTGGACGCGCACAATACACCAAAACAATATTCGTCTCTTGTACTTAAGATCAACTATTATAAGTGATTAAAATTTGTCTACACATATATGTTATATTTTTCTCCAAAGTATTGGCCCTTTTATCACACTAATCTACTCTTATTTTGTTTTCTCAATCCTTTCAGATTATTTCCATATAATAATATTCTATAATATACAGTAACAGTTTTATAAAATATTCCTTTTACAGTCTGGTAATAAAAATCGTTTTTCGACCAAAAAAGGACAAAAAAAAGTTTCTACAAAAAAGAAATATTTGATTCAGTCATAATTTAAGGTTTCGGAGTCACGAAATTAATGTCAAACATTTAAAATTCAAAAAACTCTGAAATATTTTTTAAAAATTTGGTTACCATATTGAATCCGCTATTTTGAATGAAATCTGATATAAAATTCGGTTTTAGTGACTCCGAAAACCCCCCGAATAAACATTTTTAAAAAAATACGTTAATCTTTTTAATTTATGTCCGCCATATTGGATCCGCCATTTTGGATTTTTAAATCCGACATAAAACTCGGATTGAGCGACTTTAAAAGTTTAAAATTCAAATAAGCTCGCCGCAAGCTTCCGTTCTTAAAAATTGTCCAATAAAAGCCTAAATATAACTTAAAAAATTGATTTTGATAAAATTTTTGATAAAAATGCGTGTAAATACATTGCGTGCAAACTGATAGCATGCGAATATTAAAATACGAGATTTTTTCTAATATTAGGTTACACGCACTTGAAGGATAATTACCCACAGTATAGGGCATTATAAGGGCGTTATACATATAGAGGAACGACGCATATATCCTATAATAGTTAATTTACAATAAACTTTTGTGTATACATATATCGCACCACACACTTTTATATAAAATATAAGCATTCTTCGACAAGTGTTTGTCAATCAATATAAATATATAAAAAAAGAAAATAAAAAAAAAACGGAAGTAAAGGGTGTTTCATTGCCGTATAATGGGTCACGTGTCCCCTTAACAAGTATCGGAGCGTGTCACAGTTTTGAAGAGCAAACCGTATTATGTATGTATACAGTGAATGAAAGTGTCTGATGATCAAAATAATAATAAACTCTAAAGGATTAAAAATTACGTCTGCCTAAATGGTCTATCTACTCTTTCGATTTAATATTAAAATATTTTCTCTCACATCATTTTTTCCCCACTGGTTTTTATTGTTTTGAATCAAAAATTAAGTTTTAAAATTTCAATCTATTAAAAATTTAAATTCCAGAATGAGGAATAGGATAATAATTAAATAATAATTATATATTATTATATACCTATAATTATATATTTTTTATTAATATTAAGTAAATATATCTCTCCTAATTACATAAAAGCATTTCGCCGACGCCGAAGAGTCTCAGTATTTTCTAAGGGTCCCCTTTGAGGGCCGTTACGTTACGCCAAAATATACGTCAATTTTCTTTCAGCCTACAGATTAAAAAGAGGCCCTTAAGAACCATCCAAGGGATCAAAATTAGACCTTACGTCAAAGGTCAAATTCATTTAATTTAATAAATCATCATCTATATTCATTCAAGTATATTATATATTATATATTATATATTATATTATATATTATATATTATATATTATATATTATATATTATATATTATATATTATATATTATATATTATATATTATATATTATATATTATATATTATATATAAATATATTATATATTATTATAATAATTATATTATAATAAATGAATAATAATTTTATTAAATTTTTAGGGAAATTGGATTTTACGAAAACTCACCGTATCTCGTGGAGGACTCCAACATTGAGGAGATGCGGACGTACTGTTTCCATTGTGATTGCTGATAACGGAATTAGATGATGAATTGAGATTCGTAAAGTTGACACTTAATGGAGCAGAAACGTCGTCTTCAGTCGTTTCAATATCAACTTCATCATCGGAACTTTCATCCTTGTTGGATGGAACATCCGCGACGGGATCTTGAATTGAATTCTCGACAATTGGAGGTACACGAATTACAGGCCGAAAAGCTGATTGATGAATGGAACCATTAACCGACGATGGTAAAATTGGTTCCGATGGAGTTGTTCCAATTGGTGGTGGTAAAGGTCCTAGAGATAATTAGAAATTACAAAATTATTAAATTTTTAAAAAATTATTATTCACAAATAAAAGAAAATACCAAATTTTGTTTATTATATACGCTTTTTTCTATAACAAATTTCGTTTGACTGATCTATTATTATGCAAATTTTTTTTCCTTTTTATTTATGAAAATAAAAAAATATTAGAATTTATTGTGTATGAAAAATTGAAAATTTCAAAGATTTTAATTTAAAACATTTTCAAAATTCAATTATTTCTAAAAATTCACGCTATTATCAATAATGCTTTTAATATTCAATTATAATCTAAAATTTTAACTGAAAATCATTTTTAAATCAATTTTCATTTTAAAATTCTACTAGAATTAAATTATTTAAATACAAAAATAAATAGTTTATTGAATAATTGACTGTTTCTTGAAATTTAATTCTCATGAAGAATTATATTGACAAATTTTTAAAGAACTGAATTCTTGTGACGAATTTTAATAAAATTTTTAAGAGTAATTAATTTTAATTGAATTCCTCAAAAAATGTAATTCCATTTTTCGAAGAATTGGATTAAAATTGTATTATAAATAATTCCTAAAAAAAACTTTATTATTTATGAAAATAATTGAATCTCTGTGAAAAATTTTTATTATTTATGAAAATAATTTAATTATTGCGAAGAAATTTTTAAAAAATTTGTATAGAATTGAATTCCTCTGAAATTTTTATTATTTATGAAAATAATTGAATAAATAATAAAAAAAAAATAATAAAAAAAAAAATAATAATAATAATAATTTTATTAAAATTCCTGCAAATAATTGAATTTTATCAAAAGAATTTTGTTAAAATTTTTGAAAAAAATTGAATTTCGGAGGGGGATTTTATTATGTATAACGATAATTGAAATTTTGACGAGAATTCTTTTTAAATTTTTTAAAATAATTGAATTTCTGTTAATTATTTTTATTACTTATGAAAATAATTGAATTCTTGTAATTAATATTATTATATTTTTGAAATTAATTGAATTCTGCATAAGAATTTTATAAAAATTCTTGAAAATAATTTAATTCTTTCTTGGAAGAATTGTATTAAAATTTTTTTAAATAATAAAATTTTTTGAGGAATATTATTAAAAAAAATTTTTTGTTTAATTTTCTCAAAAATAATTGAAATAATAGAATTATTGCGAAGAAATTTATAAAAAAATTGCAAAGAATTGAATTCCTATGAAATTTTTATTATTTTTGAAAATAATTGAATTTTGCAAATAAATTTATTAAAACTCTTGCAAATAATTGAATTTTGTTAAAAATTTTTAAAATAATTGCATTTCGGAAGGAATTTTATTATTTATAACGATTATTGAAATTTCGACGAGAATTCTTTTAAAATTTTTGAACATAATTGAATTTCTGTGAATAATTTTATAACATTTGAAAATTATTGAATTCTAGTTATAAATATATTATTATAGTTTTGAAAATAATTGAATTTTGCATAAGAATTTTATAAAAATTCCTGAAAATAATTGAAATTTTCTAGGAAGAATTTTATTAAGATTTTTAAAAATAATTACCTTTTTTGAGAAATTTAAGTTAAAAATAATTTTATTAAAATTTTATTGAAAATAATTTAAATAATAGAATTATTGCGAAGAAATTTATAAAAAAATTTGCAAATAATTGAATTTCTGTGAAATTTTTATTATTTTTGAAAATAATTGAATTTTGCAAAGAATTATATTGAACTTCCTGCAAATAATTGAATTTTGATAAAAATTTTATTAAAATTTTTGAAAATAATTAAATTTGAAAGAGGAATTTTATTATTTATAAAAAATAATTAAAATTTTGACGAGAATTTTTTAAATATTTTTGAACATAAATGAATTTTTGCGAATAATTTTATTACTTTTAAAAATAATTGAATTCTTCTTATGAATATTATTATGGTTATGGAAATAATTGAATTTTTTCGAAGAATTATATTAAAATTACTGAAAATAATTGAATTTTTTCTGAAAGAAGTTTATTAAAATTTTTAAAAATAATGATATTTTTTGAGGAATTTGACTAAAAATAATTTTATTAAAATTTTATAAAAAATAATTGATATATAAGAATTATTGCGAAGAAATTTATAAAAAATTTGCAAATAATTGAATTCCTGTGAAATTTTTATTATTTTTAAAAATAATTGAATTTTGCAGCAAGAATTTTATTATTTATAAAGATAAATGAAATTTTGAAGATAATATTCAAAAAATTTTAAACATAATTGAAACTCTGCTATGAGTTTTATTATTTATGAAAATAATTGAATTTCTGCGATGAATTTTATTACTTTTGAAAATAATTAAATTTCTGTAGTCATTTGTAACTTTTCAAAAATTCAAAATTATTTTTTATAAATCGTCTATAAATATTCTTCTATAAATTTATTAATTGTAATAATAAATTTAATATATATTAAAAAATTTAACTATAATTTCAGAAGAGTTTGAATAATTAAAATTTTTGCCAATTAATAATAATTTTAATTAAATTACAATTGAAGTCTAAGTAATAATTTTATGATAGTTCTTGAAAAATTAAGTTATTTAAGAAGAATTTATTGTCAGATATAAAAAAGACACAAAAATTCAGAATTTTCTTATGAATTCTAAAAATTTAATTTTTTGATATGTTTTTTCAGTATTTTTAATAAAAATCCCCAACTTTTCCCTAAATTTCCTGTCTCAGAATATATAATTGTTATAATTATATTAGTATTAAAACCATATTCCAATTTATATTTTATTTTTATAAAGATAGAATTAAAACTATTTAAATTCCATAATTTTTAAAATTACTAATTTTATTTAAAAAAAAGTAACGAAGTCTTTCTGCAGATATTAAATTGAGACAAAAAGGGAATCAAAAATGTTGCGAAGCAACGTTTTGATTCGTTTTTTTGTCTCAATTTGATATCTGCAGAAAAACTGAAGAAAAAAATTTTTAAATTGTTATAGTTTTATTATGAAATAATAATCAATTTCTTACCAGGAAATAGACATCGTTTCGTCAGCCAAGGCAATGCATAAGGTGGAAATGCAAAACCAGGTGTTTTAGCGACAGCAACAGCGGCAGCCTGTTGATGTTGATGCCAAACGCAATCCATGATAAAACTCCTCGACAATGGCAACGGAAGTTCAGGAAATGGCGGAACTCTCGGATGAGCAACTGGAGGCGGCGGAATTGGAGATGGAATTTCCGTTGTTGGCGAATGTCGTGCTCGTTTTGTTGGACTTGGCGATATACGACTACTGGGATTTGAAAGCAATCGTTTTCTTGTACCACCATTGAACATTGCCTTAACATCCTCCCAAGCGTGCACCACCTCGTCCGGTGGATTGCCCGACAATTTCATATGCCTCCTCCAGGAATTAAAATTTGCCGCGTCCGGCTGCACATATTTATCAGCAGGACTAATTCGATGTGAATGAAAAATAAATTTATTCGGCGAAAAAAAGAGGCCACAATAGGCGCACTTGATGCATTTTGCCCGCGAACTATTGTAACGCGCTGGTAAAAATGCCCCCCGACAACCGAATGCACACTCATGATGAACGGTAAATGCAAAATCTTCCGGTAATCTACAACGAAATTAATATTTTATTAATGAAGATTTCAAAAAAAGTTTTAAAATCAAAAAAAATTATTTTTGAACAAGTTTCAAGTAAAATATTAACCTTGGAGGTGCATTGTCACCGAGAAATGATTTGCAGAGCCTTTCGGCTTCCCTGCGAGTTATCATTCCACATCTTCTTGAAGAGACTGGCATTGCACCGGCTCTTCGAAGAATTTCCAATTGTACAGGTGTGCATTGAACACAAGTAATGCCCAATGCAACTCGTCTATTGTGTATTTCATTGTAACTGAATTGCTTTAACAATGTGTTGCTGATTTGTGCAAGACACAATCTCTCCTGACCCTCAATCACCAATGAAACTATATGGATGCCATATAATGCAACTGTACCCACCTGCAAATCCTACAGATTTAGTATTATCATGCGATCTTTTGCAAAATTTAATAAACATTTGCAAAGAATTTGAAAAAAGTTCATTTACTTAACATTTTTTTTTTTACAAATTAAACAAAACGATTTGGTTAAATTAAAATATTCAGGGCTCGAACCAGTGAAAGTATTTGAAAATACGGATTTTACGGACCAAAAATGAAAAATTACGGACAATTTACGGTCCAATGACAAAAATATAACCAGTCCGAGTTAAATAAGAGAATATTTTACTTAAAACAATAAATTAAATTTTTTCATAACTCTAAAACATGAAGAAATCAATCACTCCGAGTCTTCGACTCGGAGTGATCAATTTCTTCATGTTTTATAATAATTAAAGATGGCAAATTGATAAAATCATTATTTTATATTATAAGAATATTTTACTTCTTCAAAATTATTTTCATCACTACAATAATAATACAGAATAAATTAACAAATATTTTGATATAATGACGTCTGACTAAAACTTTTTTCACTACTTAAAAGAGAATAATACAAAATTATATTTCTTGTATGCGTAAAATTAATTTTTACTATTAAAATAATATTTTTACTACTTATAATTCATTCAATAATTTATAGATTTTTTAAAATGACGTCTGACTGAAAACTTTTGTACTACTTATAAGAAAAAATAATGTAAAATTTTAATTTGTGTCTGACTGAAATTTACTGTTACTATACTGAAATCATAGTTTTATTACTAATAATTTGTGGAATATATGATTAAATATATTTAATAACGTTCGTCTGAAACATTTTTTACTACTTAAATTTAAACTTCTCGTCTGACTAAAATTTACTTTTACTACTTAAATCCGTAGTTGCATTATTAAAATATACCAAACAATTGATCAAATTTTTCTAATAGCGTTTGACCAAGAATGTTTTTACTACTTAAAAAAGAGAATAATAAATTTTATTTTGTGTCTGACTAGTAATTACCTTTACTACTAAAAACAAATTTATATTGCTGATGATTGGTCGAATAAATTAACAAAATTTTTAATAAAATGACGTCTGACTAAAACTTTTCTTACTACTTAAGGGAGAATAACAGAAAATTAAATTTCTTGTCTACGTAAAATTTACTTTCACTACTAAAACAAAATTTTTACTCCTTGTAATTAACTCAATTATTCATAGATTTTTTAAAATGAAGTCTGACTAAAAATGTCTTTACTACTTAAAGCAGAATAACATTAATTTGACTTTGTGACGCACTAAAGTTTGCATTTTCTATCGAAATCATATTTTTTTTTGCTAATAGTTAACGGAATAATTGACCATGTTTTTTTAAGTCTGACTTAAAAATGCTTTCTCTACTTATAAAGAAAAATTAGGCATAATTTTAGTTTGTGTCTGACTTAAATTTACTGTTACTACTGAAATCTTTTTTTTCCGAATAATTAACTGAATTTTGAAAGTTACGTCTAACAAGAATGGTTTTAATACTTTATAAGATTTGATTAAAATTGTATTAAAAATAATTGAAATTTTGCAGTGAGTTTTATTATTTCTGAAAATAATTGAATTCCCAAAAATAATTTTACTATTTTTGAATACAATTAAATTTTTGCGAAGAAATTTATTACTTTTAAAAACAATTGAATTTCTGTAATAACTAGTAACTTTTCCAAAATTAAATTTTTTTCAGCGTTAACTAACAATTTTTCTATAAATCCATTATTTTAAATAATTTTTGAAAAAGTTTTTTGTGAATTTTCAAATTCATTTGTTTTTAACTAAAATTCACTTTTAGATCAATTTTTATTAGTAAATTCTACTAGAATTCAATTATTTAAATAAAAAAAAAATTAATGAATATTTGAATGTATTTCTGAAAATTGAATTCTCATTAAGAATTTAATCAACAAATTTTTAAATAATTGATTCGTTTGGCGAATTTTAATAACATTTTTAATAATAATAACAGTTTTCGAGAAATTCGATTAAAATTGTAATTAAAATAATTGAAATTCTGCGATAAGTTTTACTATTTATGAAAATAATAAAATTCCTAAAAAGATTTTTATTATTTAACGAAAATAATTAAATCTCTGTAAATATTTTATTATTTATGAAAATAATTGAATTATATTGCAAAACTATAATGCTTTTAATATTCAATTATTATCTAAAATTTTAACTAAAATTCATTTTGAAAATAATTAAATTTTGCAATAAGAGTTAAAATTCCTGAAAATAATTGAATTTTTTCTGGGCAGAATTTTATTAAAAATTTTTTTAAATAATTACATTTTTTGAGGAATTTAATTAAAAATAATTTTATTAAAAATAATTGAAATAATAGAATTATTTGCGAAGAAATTTATAAGAAAAATTTGTAAATAATTGAATTTCTGGGACATTTTTATAATTTTTTTAAATAATTGAATTTTGCAAAGAATTCTATTAAAATTCCTGAAAATAATTGAATTTTGCCGCAAGAATTTCATTTAAATTTAAGAAATTAATTGAATTTCGAAGAAGAATTTTATTATTTATAAAGATAATTGAAATTTTCACGAGATTTTTTTTAAAGTTTTTGAACAATTAAATTCTTTGGACGAATTTTAATAAAATTTTTAAGAATTAATAACATTTTTCGAGAAATTCGATTAAAATTGTATTAGAAATAATTGATAATTCTGCGATGAGTTTTATTATTTATGAAAATAATTGAATTCCTAAAAAGAAGTTTAGTATTTACGAAAATAATTGAATCTCTATAAAAATTTTATTATTTATGAAAATAATTGAATTATTGCGAAGAAATTTAAAAAAATTTTGTAAATAATTGAATTCCTGTGAAGTTTTTATTATTTTATTGAAAATAATTGAATGTTTGCGTAGAATTTTATCAAATTTTTTAAAAATAATTGAATTCTTTTGGAAAATTGTACTATTAAAAGAATAAATATTAAAAATCATTTAATGCAAAGGGAAATTTTTGAAAATAATTGAAATTTCGCCAAGAATTGTATTAAAATTTTTGAAAATAATTGAATTTCGGAGAAGAATTTTAATATTTCTAAACATAATTGAAATTTTGACGAGAATTTAAAAAAAAATTTGAAAATAATTGAATTTCCGCGAAGAATTGTATTACTTTTGAAAATAATCGAATTTCTGCAATCATTTGTAATTTCTCTAAAATTCTCCAAATTATATCGTACAATAATCGAACTTTTCGTCCTTTTTCTATCAAATTACAGACTTTGTGGACCTTTTCTTAAAAAAAACTGACTTTTACGGACTTGAAGCAAATTTAGAATTAGAATTAGAATTTCTTTATTTGTTCAAGGAAACCATGAGAACAATTTTTAGTTTTAGTTTGAGCCCTGAACAATTTGGTGTAATTAAAAACATTACATTTATTTTTGTACTACGATAATCCTGTAATTGGTCTTTAAGACTGTAGGATTTGTTTCAATAAAATAAATAAATAAATAAACAATAAGGATTTATAGGATATTATAGAATTATTTAAGGATTGTAGGATTTTAAAATCCAGGAAACAAAAATTAAGAATTTAAAGTACATAGAAATAAAAATAAATTAACACGCATGTAATTTTGTAACTAATGCTAGGTTATTTTTTATAAACTAAAATTTAGTATTAAATGTTCAAACTACCTGATTTGGTTTTGAATTTGTTTGTGGTTGAGGTGGCGGAGATGACTTCTGAGTTGCCAAGGGAAGAGATAAAACTGTTTGTCCTTCCATCCTTGTAGAAGAGAAATAATTATTCTTCTTACAACTAAGCTGTAGGAATTTTTATTTTTCTAAATAAATTATTTTAAATTAATATTTATGTATTATAAATAAATAATTAATTAAAATAAACATATTATAAATACTTATTATAAATACCTTATAATTAAATTCATTATCAGCACAATATACGGCTACTGCCTCTTTTTTTTAGAATTTACAGTGTCTAATATTATTCATACTGTTTTTTCCCTCTCATTTTTTGAACGAGAGTAAATAATTTATTTGAAGACTAAAAGTTTGTCTGTCGATTGAAAATGTGATTAAGTCGTTAAGCAACAACATTGGCACACGATGAAACGGAAATTCGTTTTAACAGTTCCTTAATTATGTCCGCATTTCGACGGTGATTAAGTAAATTCCTCGAGACTCGATAAAGTGCTGAGATTAAACTCTTGAGAGTTAAAGCATTACTATGCCCGTTACCCGCATAGTATTCCTGCTCATCTAATACTACTTGCAATTAAACAGCTTTCTTTCATAAAATTGATGAGACAGAAAGAGAGAATTTATTCCATCCAACTTAGCTGGGAATTTATTTTTATCGGTAAATAATCTCTTGTTTCACAATATTTTTAAGTTAACTTATAATATTTTTCTCAATATGATTGCTGTCCACAAGGGAGATTTATTTATATAATTAAAGAGTGTAAAAGTAATTTTTTATTTTAATATTTTTAAATAAAATAATTAGCAATTTTAAAAATAATAGAACTTAAAAATTTTCTAATTTAAATTCTTGTTGAAAACACTAAAAAAAAATTCAATTTTGGCGAAATTACAAATAATTGCAGAAATTCAATTATTTTCAAAAAAAAAATAAAATTCTTTTCATAAAATTCAACAATGTTCAAAATTTGAAAAAAATTCTAGTAAAAATCCCAATTATCTTTATAAATAACAAAATTATTCTCCAAAGTTCAATTATTTTTATAAATGTCAAAAAAATTCTTGTCCTAATTTCAATTATTTTCAAAAATAAAATGCATTTTTCTAATTTCAATGACTTTCAATATTTACTATTTTAATCAAATTTCCCAAAAAGAATTAAATTATTCAAAAAAAAATTTAAATAAAATTTTATGCAAACATTTATTTTCATAAATAATACAAATTTAACAGGAATTCAATTATTATTTTCTTAAAAAATAATTTAAAATTATAAAAAAAATAATGGAAGTAAAATGATGAAAATGATTTTGATGAAGTTACAGTAACAATATTCTTATGATATAAAATAATGATTTTATCTCTCGGTCAACTTTAATTATTAGAAAACATGAAGAAATCGATCACTCCGAGTCTTCGACTCGGAGCAATCGATATCCTTCATGTTTTATAACAATACTTTTATAAGTTGTTTAATTTAAAAAAAGGTTTGAATTTGAAATTTTTGAATGTCTTAATTCCTGTGAAAAATCCTGTTCCAAAAATAAGATTAAAAATAGGAATTGTGCAAATATTTTTCTTCTTTTTCTAAAACAAAATAATAATTTTGTTAAAAAAATTGTGATTCATAAACAAAAATAATGCAAAATAAATATATTTTCTATTTCTTAATCACAGTTGTTTAATAATTTTCTAATTTTCCTTAGAAGTAAAGAACAAAAATCTGCATAATCTCAATTTGACAAAACATAATATTTAACAAAATTTTAGTCTTTTAATGAAAAAAAGTGAAAAAATTCGGATAATTTCTATTTGTCATTAAAATCTTGAATTAATTATAAAATAAAAATAATTATAACATATTAATATAATATACAATCTATCTAAAGATAACAAAAAACGAAAGTATAAACAAAAGACAACTTCAGAATGTGAGGGACAGAAAAAGTGAATGAATGAATGAAAGAACATTCAAATTATTATAGTAAATTAATTAAAAGCATCATAACGTGGATTTTTAGAAATACTTAAATTTTGAAAAAGTTTCAAATTACAATCATTGAAATTCTTAATTTTACATATTTTTAACTAACAATTCTGTAGAATTAACTCTTTTTAAAAGTTTAATAGGATTTTTATTGAAATTATTTCAAGTTCTTATTTTTCAATATATATATTTAATTGCAGAATTTCCGAATAATTGAAATTTTACGTAAAATTGAATTGTAAACGAATGAATTTGAAAATTGAATATTAAAAGCAATATAGTTTTGCAATATAATTCAATTATTTTCATAATTAATAAAATTTTTACAGAGATTCAATTATTTTTGTAAATATAATAAAATTCTTTTTAGAAATTTAATTATTTTCATAAATAGTAAAAGTTATCGCAGAATTTCAATTATTTTTAATGAAATTTTAATTGAATTTCTCGAAAAATTTTATTAATTCTTAAACATTTGATTAAAATTCTTTCAAAGAATTCGATTAGCTAAAAATTTGTTGATAAAATTTTTAATTAGAATTCAATTTTCAGAAAGATTTAAATATTCAATAAATTTTTTTCTATATTTAAATAATTGAATTCTAGTAGAATTTACTAATTTTAAAATTGATCTAAAAATGAATTTCAGTTAAAAACAAATAAATTTGAAAATTCACAAAAAAAAATTCTCGTCAAAATTTCAATTATGTTCAAAAATATTAAAATTCTTCTACGAAATTAAATTATTTTCAAAAATTTTAATACAATTCTTGGCGAAATTTCAATTATTTTCAAAAATTTCCCTTTGCATTAAATGATTTTTAATATTTATTATTTTAATAGTACAATTTTCCAAAAGAATTCAATTATTTTTAAAAAATTTGATAAAATTCTACGCAAACATTCAATTATTTTCAATAAAATAATAAAAACTTGACAGGAATTCAATTATTTACAAAAATTTTATACATTTCTTCGCAATAATTCAATTATTTTTATAAATAATAAAAATTTTTCAGAGATTCAATTATTGTCGTAGATACTAAAACTCTTTTTAGAAATTCAATTATTTTCATAAATAATAAAACTCATCGCAGAATTTCAATTATTTTTAATACAATTTTAATCGAATTTCTCGAAAAATGTTATTAAATCTTAAAAATTTTATTAAAATTCGTCCAAAGAATTCAATTGTTAAAAAACTTTTAAAAAAAATCTCGTCAAAATTTCAATTATCTTTATAAGTAATAAAATTCTTCTCCGAAATTCAATTCATTTCTTAAATTTAAATAAAATTCTTGCGGCAAAATTCAGTTATTTTCAGGAATTTTAATGGAATTCTTTGCAAAATTCAATTATTTTAAAAAATTATAAAAATTTCCCATAAATTCAATTATTTACAAATTTTTTTTTAAAATTTCTTCGCAAATAATTCTATTATTTCAATTATTTTTAATAAAATTATTTTTAATCAAATTCCTCAAAAAAATGTAATTATTTAAAAAATTTTTTAATAAAATTCTTCCCAGAAAAAATTTAATTATTTTCAGGAATTTTAATAAAACTCTTATGCAAAATTTAATTATTTTCAATATGAATTTCAGTTAAAATTTTAGATAAATAATAATTGAATTAATTGAATAGTAAAACTTAATCGCTGAATTTCAATTATTTTTAATGAAATTTTAATTGAATTTCTCGATGTTATTAATTCTTAAACATTTGATTAAAATTCCTCCAAAGAATTCGATTAGTTAAAAATTTTTTGATAAAATTTTAAATGAGAATTGAATTTTCAGAAAGATTCAAATATTCAATAAATTTTTTTCTATATTTAAATAATTGAATTATAGTAGAATTTACTAATTTAAAAATTGTTCTAAAAATGAATTTCAGGTAAAAACAAATGAATTTGAAAATTCACAAAAAACTTTTTCAAAAATAATTAAGAATAATGGATTTACAGAAAAATGTTAGTTAACGATAAAAAAAATTTAATTTTGGAAAAGTTACTAATTATTAAAGAAATTTGCGACAAATTTGCCATAATTATCGTTTATCTCGCTTTCTATTTTGCTTTCCATTGTTTTACCCTCTTAATTAGATATATAGAAAACGGATTGAATTTCGTCGAGGAGACCTCAAAATATAATTGTCTTACTGCCCGATTTGTAAGTAGCGAGTAATTAATGTGGTTTGAATCGAGTCGAACTGTCGGACAATCGTTGCAATGGCCAACTAAGAGAGAGAGAAGGAGAGAGAGAGAGAGAGAGAGGATTGTTCCACGCTGGGCATTGCATTGTTTCACGGTAGATGAGAATTTAATTTGCAACAGAGAGTGAGGGACGGCGAAGAAGGAAGGCAGGGGGGTGGGTTGTGAACCTAGCTGCTAGTGGGATACTCGAATGAAGGTGGCAGCAGGGTAGTTTAAATGAAGAGTGGGGATGAACAGGATCGGATGGGTGCCGGCTTGTTTAAGTGTGGGAGGGGGTGTCAAATTGAATTACCCCCCTATTCATGGTCTCAAGGGACATTTGCTGGAGCCTTCCTTGCCTCTGTCAGGAGCACACCTACTACTTCCTCTACTTTCCAGGTATACATATAAAGATGAGAGTTTGTATTCAGAATTTCTCTGTGTTCGAAACTTCGAATTTAACTGTGTGTATATCTCACGGGGTACGCACGCGTATCCAAGAATATCACAGTGGAGGGGTTTTTCAATTAAAATCAACACTGAAAGCGAGGTTCAACCCCTCGTATCTTTATTTTTATTTCCTCTCTTTTCATTTTCTTTTAACTTCTTCTACTATATATATATATGTACATAACTTTTTCCTTAACTTTATTATTTCTTCCTTTTTTTTATTCTTCTTCTTTGTTCTCTGATTCTTAACCATTGGAAACTTATTTTTTGAAAAATAAAACTTTTGCGCTACGATATTTAAAAAATTAAAAAAACAGAGTTTGAACTATAGTTCAAACCCTTGTTTTTTTACGGACTTGAATCAAATTTACGGAGCTTTACAGACCCTACAGGTCCGTAAAGCTCCGTAAATTTGATTCAAGTCAGTAAGGTTGGAGGGATGATATTTAAAAACTTGAGTATTATTATTAT